CCAGGGTCTGTTATGTAGATCTATGTTATTGACACCAGGGTCTGTTATGTAAAATCTATGTTATTGACACCAGGGTCTGTTATGTAGATCTATGTTATTGACACCAGGGTCCATAATGTAGATCTATGTTATTGACACCAGGGTCTGTTATGTAGATCTATGTTATTGACACCAGGGTCTGTTATGTAGATCTATGTTATTGACACCAGGGTCCATAATGTAGATCTATGTTATTGACACCAGGGTCTGTTATGTAGATCTATGTTATTGACACCAGGGTCTGTTATGTAGATCTATGTTATTGACACCAGGGTCTGTTATGTAGATCTATGTTATTGACACCAGGGTCTGTTATGTAGATCTATGTTATTGACACCAGGGTCTGTTATGTAGATCTATGTTATTGACACCAGGGTCTGTTATGTAGATCTATGTTATTGACACCAGGGTCTGTTATGTAGATCTGTTATTGACACCGGGGTCTGTCATGTAGATCTATGTTATTGACACCAGGGTCTGTCATGTAGATCTATGTTATTGACACCAGGGTCTGTTATGTAGATCTATGTTATTGACACCAGGGTCTGTTATGTAGATCTATGTTATTGACACCAGGGTCTGTCATGTAGATCTATGTTATTGACACCAGGGTCTGTTATGTAGATCTATGTTATTGACACCAGGGTCTGTTATGTAGATCTATGTTATTGACACCAGGGTCTGTCATGTAGATCTATGTTATTGACACCAGGGTCTGTTATGTAGATCTATGAGCTGTATAGCCCTTGTGGCTTAGCGCTTCTTTTTGATTATAATAATAATATGTAGATCTATGTTATTGACACCAGGGTCTGTCATGTAGATCTATGTTATTGACACCAGGGTCTGTCATGTAGATCTATGTTATTGACACCAGGGTCTGTCATGTAGATCTATGTTATTGACACCAGGGTCTGTTATGTAGATCTACATCTTAAGCTGTGCTCACTCATATATGAGCTCTAAATTATGGCCTTTTCAGAAGAATATTTTTATGAAAATGTGGATACTGTGAGTACTTAATTTCAGGGGACAGTGGGAGGGTTAAGGAAGGTGAGGTTAGCACTTAGTTTTGATTGTAATAATCAGGAGGTGCCAGTTAAGGGCTCTTGATTAGGGGAACTGAACTACCCTCCATTATAATACCTGATTGCCTTCCATTATCTGGTCTTTCCTTCCATGCATCTGCTATGATACTGGTGGGATGGGGCCCCAGAGTTTAGGGATTAAATTGAATGACCCCTATGGGTTCCGTTCTTAAGTTGAATGACTATGGGTTTAGTGCCTTTCCCTCATGAAATATATCCCCAGGTGCCGTATGAGGATTATGGGTTAATATTTCTCGATGAATGTAAAAAATAGTTGATCAGTGCCTGTATAGATCTTGATCCTTCGGGGGAATGTTGCTGAAAATGGGTTCTTGATGCAGGGATTTAAATTACCTTTCAGATGAAGCTATAACTTCCCATTCTCTAGGCACTATGGCAGTGCTGTATAACCCTTTTGGGTTTAGCACTTAATTGTGATTACAATAATCTAGGCACTTATTAATCATATGGGTTTGGCACTTTAATTCCCCTAGACTATGATACAGTAATGTGCTGCTGACTTGACACTTGTGTGATCATTGACATTGATGCTGTCTTCACATATCCTGCTGCCATCTTCACACATCCCGCTGTCGTCTTCACGTACCCTGCTGTCGTCTTCACACACCCTGCTGTTGTCTTCACATACCCTGCTGTTGTCTTCACATACCCTGCTGTCATCTTCACATATCCTGCTGCCATCTCCACACACCCCACTGTCATCTTCACATATCCTGCTGTCATCTTTACATACCCTGCTGTCATCTTCACATACCCTGCTGTCGTCTTCATATACCCTGCTGTCATCTTCACATAGCCTCTCACAGGATTTACCTCCACTGATGCCACTGCCCTACTGCTCTTACTGTATCTTCCCTTCCTGCAGACGACCTGCCTTTGACTTACAATCACTTTTTTACTTTTTGTCAGCAACTGCTTTGCTACATGAACTTTGATACATAGCCCCTAGCGTCCCTTCCAGCCCTTTTCTCCCCTCGCATCTAATCCCCTCTCCAACTAGCTGTTTATAGCCCCGGCACTATTTTCTGCCCCATAGTACTGCATGACCCTTGTCAGTTAAATGTTTGATTTGATTATAATTCACAAACCCTGGTGTTGTCTTCACGTACCCCACTGCCGTCTTCACATACCCCGCTGCCTGTCTTCACATACCCCGCTGCCTGTCTTCACATACCCTGCTGCCTGTCTTCACATACCCCGCTGCCGTCTTCACGTACCCTGCTGCCTGTCTTCACGTACCCCACTGCAGTCTTCACATATCCCGCTGCCTGTCTTCACATACCCCGCTGCCGTCTTCACGTACCCTGCTGCCTGTCTTCACATACCCCGCTGCCATCTTCACGTACCCTGCTGCCTGTCTTCACATACACCGCTGCCGTCTTCACATACCCTGCTGCTGTCTTCATATACCCCACTACTGTCTTCACATACCCTGCTGCCATCTTCACATACCCCACTGCCTGTCTTGACGTACTCTGCTGTCGTCTTCATGTACCCCGCTGCCTGTCTTCACATACATAAGAATGGAGGAACACTGCAGAAGGCCTGGCCCATACAATGCAGGTCCTTATCAAAATCACCACTACCCAGAGCTACCCAAGAATTTATCCCTGTACCCACAACACCAATCAAACCCAGCCCCTCCCACTGATACCCCACTGCTATCTTCACATACCCCCTTACCCTTATGAATGGCTCTTAAACTGATGATATATAGCCCATGCTGGTTTAGTGTGTTATGATTAGCAATTTCTGAAAAGAATATAATCTAAAACTGAATCTTTGCAGCGCTGTATGACTCTTGTGGGTTTAGCGCTTAGTTTTTATTGTGACTATAACTCCTGCCATAAGAAAAAAAAGTGGTGGTTGTCCTCGAGGATAAATTTTACAATCTTCTACATTGTCTTGCCACCCTTGCCGTATTTGAGAGACTGGCTCTCCAGTCTCTTGCATTGGCCATACTCGCCTTACCCACTGGTATCTGATGGAATGACACCCTATTCCTCTGTGAGGTTTGTCGAGCCCTTATTTCGGTTCTTCGCTTTCCTGTGGATTGCCCAGTTTACCAGCAAGCTCATAGGATTTACCTCCAACAACACCGCCACCCTACCACTATTACCTTATCTTCCCTTCTGCAGACGGCCCTGCCCTTGACTTATTATCATTTTTTGACTTCGTCAGTAACTGCTTTACTATACGAACTTTGACACAACCCTTAGTGTCCCTTCCATTCCTTTTCTCCCCTTGCCTCTGATTCCCTCCACCTAGCTGTTCATAGCCCTGGCCCCTCAAGGAAGGTTCCTTGATGTTGGTAAGGGGCTCTTGATTTAGGGAATTGGATCTGTGCTCCAGTTCCCTGAATTAAGCCTGAATGCCTTCCACATCCCCCCCCCCCTCAGGCGCTGTATAATCCTCCGGGTTTAGCGCTTCCCCCTTGATTATAATAATAATAATAATCATAGCCCTGGCACTATTTTCTGCCCTGCAGTGCTGTATGACCCTTTTTGGTTTAGTGCTTTCTTTGATTATAATTACATTATTGTGCATATAGTACCCCTTCAAGGGAGGGCCCCTTATGCTGGTGAGGTGCTCTTGATGTAGGGAATTGGATCTGTGTCTGGTTCCCTGAACTGAGTCTGAATACCTTCCATCCCCCCCATAGGTGCTGTATAATCCTATTGTGGCTAGCTGGTCTAGTGGCTAACGCGACAGGCTGGAGTTTTGAGACACTATGACCGCGGGTTCAATCCCGGCCGGGGTATGGTTTGTTTGCAATCGTGTCATTACGATTTCGTGAGTCATGTTGACGGCAGTGAAGGGACTTAGAGCTAGAGTTCATCACGGCCACGCTAGCTGGAGATTCGTCTGTAAAAACTTACATTTGTGGTCACAGTGGTGCCTGTGCTAACCTTCCCCCTCAAGGAAGGTTCCTTGATGTTGGTGAGGGGCTCTTGATTTAGGGAATTGGATCTGTGCTCCAGTTCCCCGAATTAAGCCTGAATGCCTTCCACATCCCCCCCCCCCAGGCGCTGTATAATCCTCCGGGTTTAGCGCTTCCCCCTTGATTATAATAATAATAATGTGCTAACCTTCCTATGGTGTAGAAATATACCTAGTTGGACGAATCTTATTGTGGCTAGCTGGTCTAGTGGCTAACGCGACGGTCTGGAGTTTTGAGACTCTATGACCGCGGGTTCCATCCCGGCCGGGGTATGGTTTGGTTTAATCCTATGGGTTCAGCACTCCCCCATGATTATTATCCCTGGATTAAAGTGTATGACCCCTGGTGGTTTAGTGCTTAGTTTTGATGATCCCTAAATTAAGCCTTAATACCTTCCACCCCCACAAGCACTAATCCCTACGGGTTTTGCGCTCCCCATTAACAAAGTTTGTGTACACCGTTGCTATAGCAACAGCGGGTCGTCCGAATCCCTTCCTCCAACTTAACTAATATTTATTGCCATAATACAAGATAAAAAAAAAGATGAATCTAAAAAATGTATATTATATATATATATATATATATATATATATATATATATATATATATATATATATATATATATATATATATATATATATATATATATATATATATATTATGTACAATTGATTACGCTATGTATAGACATTATAGCGATGGAATAAGCGGTAAATAATGAATCCTAGTGACAATACCAAGGTTGAAACAATTCGCAGATAACCCGTACAATTACGAGAAGAAACAGACGACGTTTCGGTCCACCCTGGATCACAATCAAGCGAAGTAATATTAGTCCATGCTGGACCGAAACGTCGCTCTAAAGTCTCCTAATGGCAAAGTGTGAAAGAGGAAGTCATAATGCAGGCATTCGGAGGCGGCCAACATACCAAGGTGGAGGCTGGATCAGCCGCTCTCATATATCCCAGGATATTCACCTCATACTGGTATGTATAATCCTCATACCCATCCAGAAACCTCGTATTATGCCTGCCCTTTCGCTCAGGGTTGAGCGAAACGTTGTCCAAGGCGACACACTGGGGTAAACTTTTGAGCTGCTGCTTGAATATTAATGTAGGATTTATCCTAGGATAACCCAGTAACTTCAATGTAGGATTTATCCTAGGATAACCCAGTAACTTTAATGTAGGATTTATCCTAGGATAACCCAGTAACTTCAATGTAGGATTTATCCTAGGATAACCCAGTAACTTCAATGTAGGATTTATCCTAGGATAACACAGTAACTTCAATGTAGGATTTATCCTAGGATAACCCAGTAACTTCAATGTAGGATTTATCCTAGGATAACGCAGTAACTTCAATGTAGGATTTATCCTAGGATAACCCAGTAACTTCAATGTAGGATTTATCCTAGGATAACCCAGTAACTTCAATGTAGGATTTATCCTAGGATAACACTAACTTCAATGTAGGATTTATTCTAGGATAACCCAGTAACTTCAATGTAGGATTTATCCTAGGATAACCCAATAACTTCAATGTAGGATTTATCCTAGGATAACCCAGTAACTTCAATGTAGGATTTATCCTAGGATAACCCAGTAACTTCAATGTAGGATTTATCCTAGATAACCCAGTAACTTCAATGTAGGATTTATCCTAGGATAACCCAGTAACTTCAATGTAGGATTTATCCTAGGATAACACAGTAACTTCAATGTAGGATTTATCCTAGGATAACCCAGTAACTTCAATGTAGGATTTATCCTAGGATAACCCAGTAACTTCAATGTAGGATTTATCCTAGGATAACCCAGTAACTTCAATGTAGGATTTATCCTAGGATAACCCAGTAACTTCAATGTAGGATTTATCCTAGGATAACCCAGTAACTTCAATGTAGGATTTATCCTAGGATAACCCAGTAACTTCAGTGTAGAATTTATCCTAGGATAACCCAGTAACTTCAATGTAGGATTTATCCTAGGATAACCCAGTAACTTCAATGTAGGATTTATCCTATGATAACCCAGTAATGTTAATGTAGGATTTATCCTAGGATAACCCAGCAACCCTCAGTGTAGGATTTATCCTAGGATAACTTCAGTGTAGGATTTATCCTAGGATAACACAGTAACTTCAGTGTAGGATTTATCCTAGGATAACCCAGTAACTTCAGTGTAGGATTTATCCTAGGATAACTCAGTAATGTTAATGTAGGATTTATCCTAGGATAACCCAGCAACTTCAGTGTAGGATTTATCCTAGGATAACTCAGTAACTTCAGTGTAGGATTTATCCTAGGATAACCCAGTAATTTCAGTGTAGGATTTATCCTAGGATAACACAGTAACTTCAATGTAGGATTTATCCTAGGATAACGCAGTAACTTCAATGTAGGATTTATCCTAGGATAACCCAGTAACTTCAGTGTAGGATTTATCCTAGGATAACTCAGTAACTTCAATGTAGGATTTATCCTAGGATAACCCAGCAACTTCAGTGTAGGATTTATCCTAGGATAACTCAGTAACTTCAATGTAAGATTTATCCTAGGATAACCCAGTTACTTCAATGTAGGATTTATCCTAGGATAACCCAGTAATGTTAATGTAGGATTTATCCTAGGATAACCCAGTAATGTTAATGTAGGATTTAACCTAGGATAACCCACTATTCATAAACACTATTCATCAATCCTCACCAAAGTAATAAAGAAAGCCAAACAACTATACTACTCCAGTAGATTCACAGACACTAGAGGAGATATAAAAAAGACCTGGAAAACACTCTCTCAGATTCTACGGACCCACAAACTGAAAAAAACAAGAATATTGTCCTAACTAAACCTAATGAAACACCACTACATCCCACTGACACAGCTAACAAGATAAACGACTTCTTCTCAACCATAGGATCTAATCTCGCCAATACAATCCCACATACCAATGCCTATGCCGGGGACTACCTAGATGGGAATTTCCCAAATTCCTTCTATCTTGCACCAACTGAGCCCACGGAAGTCACCGAGATTATGAAGTCACTTAAAAATAACTCAGGGAATCTGTCTCATGTCCCACCATTACTGTACAAGCGAGCGGCCCATGTCCTCTGGCATGCTATTTCATTACTTTTTAACAAGTCACTAGAAACTAGCACCTTCCCGAAACTACTCAAGATGGCAAGGGTTACACCAATACATAAAGGTGGTGACCCTACAGACTTGAACAACTATAGGCCAATATCAAACTTACCATTGCTATCCAAAATCTTTGAGAAACTCGTGCACAGGAGACTATATTCATTTATAACGGCACAAAACATACTCAACCCCTGCCAATTTGGATTCAGGAAAAATAAAAGCACTAATGATGCAATCATAAAAATGCTAGATCTGCTTTACACAGCATTGGAAAATAATTAATATCCACTAGGAATTTTTGACCTAGGAAAAGCTTTTGACACAGTAGACCACGGCATCCTACTCCACAAACTTGACCATTACGGTATAAGAGGCCATGCACTTGCTTATTTCAAATCTTACCTTACTAATAGGTATCAGTATGTCACCATTAAAGACACAGCATCAACAACACGGCCACTTGATACTGGAGTTCCGCAGGGAAGTGTCCTTGGTCCCCTGCTCTTCCTCATATACATCAATGATCTTCCAAACGTATCCCAACACCTGAAACCCATTCTCTTTGCTGACGACACGACTTATGTCATCTCTCACCCTAATCTTGCCACCCTCAACACCATTGTTAACGAGGAGCTGCTCAAAATATCGACTTGGATGACAGCCAATAAACTTACGCTTAACACTGACAAAACCTACTCTATTATGTTTGGTAGCAGAGCAGGAGATGCACAAATTAACATTAAGATCAACAACACTCTAATTACCAGACATAATGAGGGCAAATTCCTAGGCCTATACCTTGACAACAACCTGAATTTCAGCACCCATATCCAACACATAACCAAAAAAGTATCCAAAACGGTTGGGATCCTCTCCAAGATACGATACTACGTGCCGCAAAATGCCCTTCTCACACTATACCACTCACTTATTTATCCATGCCTCACCTATGCTATTTGTGCTTGGGGATCAACTGCAGCAACACACCTAAAGCCAATAATAACCCAGCAAAAAGCTGCAGTAAGAATAATCACTAAATCCCATCCCTGGCAACACCCCCCCCCCCACTCTTCATAGATCTAAACTTACTCCCTGTTCAGTACATCCACACTTACTACTGTGCAATCTACATCTACAGGACCTTAAACTCTAATATCAACCTTGACCTAAAACGCTTTCTTGATAGTTGTGACAGAACCCACAGGCATAACACCAGACACAAACATCTCTACGACATTCCCCGTGTCCGACTAAACCTTTACAAAAATTCAATGTATGTCAAGGGCCCTAAAATCTGGAACACCCTACCTGAGAACTCTAGAACTGCAGACACATTCATCACTTCAAAACTACCATTAGAAAACATCTTATCTCCCTGATACACCCCATCAACTAACTACACGAATAACCACCTGGTGGTTCACACTTACACTCACTCACCCATTTGACCATAAACAGAAATATTAATCTCAATCTTAAAATAATGAATCCTATGATACTCCAATACTGAAACTATGTACTGTGCCAAAACAAAAGCATTCACATTGCTAAACTCACAAACTAGTATTTAGTCACTTAGCCATAATACCAACTTACCTCATAATTTGTAATATTTTAAAATAAAGAATTAAACTAAGTCTGCCCGAAATGCCTAGCCATGCTAGGTGTTCTAGTGGTACACTCTGTAATCATTATTTAACTACATGTAAACCACACAATAACCAAATTCTGTAAATTCAACATTGTAATCCTTATAGAGAATAAACTTTGAATTGAATTGAATTGGGGTCCTTAATCTTGTCCCCCAGGATGCGACCCACACCAGTCGACTAACACCCAGGTACCTATTTGCTGCTAGGTGAACAGGACAACAGGTGTAAGGAAACGTGTCGAAATGTTTCCACCCGCCGGGAATCGAACCCGGGCCCTCCGTGTGTGAAGCGGGAGCTTTAGCCACCAGGCCACCGGGCCACCGGACTAAAGTGGCTTTTGGGGGTCCTCCTGGATTAGGGGCCCTCAAGCTTCTGGGACCCCTCCGGGATGAGGGGGGCCCTCAAGCTTAAGCTTTATTAGTTTCATAGTAGATCCTCTCTGCTGTCGGGTAGTGACCCCATACCCATGATGTGGGGTAGTCACCCCATCCCATGATGTGGGGTAGTCACCCCATACCCATGATGTGGGGTAGTCACCCCATACCCATGATGTGGGGTAGTCACCCTATATCCATGATGTGGGGTAGTCACCCCATACCCATGTGGGGTAGTCACCCCATACCCATGATGTGGGGTAGTCACCCCATATCCATGATGTGGGGTAGTCACCCCATACCCATGATGTGGGGTAGTCACCCCATATCCATGATGTGGGGTAGTCACCCTATACCCATGATGTGGGGTAGTCACCCCATACCCATGATGTGGGGTAGTCACCCCATATCCATGATGTGGGGTAGTCACCCCATACCCATGATCTGGGATAGTCACCCCATACCCATGATGTGGGGTAGTCACCCCATACCCATGATGTGGGGTAGTCACCCCATACCCATCGTATGGATTAATTGTTTTCAGTTCATTATCTAACTTCTTAATTATTAATCACTAGTTGTATTGATTCCTGTATAAGCTCCTACGGTTTTAGTGCTTCCTTGTGAATTTAATAAGAGTTGTTTTAAGATATCTATGATGTTCGTTCACGCCTTTTTTCCCCTATTCTTAGAGCGCTGTGTGAGGCTTGGTGACTGTGGCCCTCTGAAACTGGTGGTGTGTTAGCACCAGTCATTACAGCTGCTGCAGCAGCATCGGTCACTACAGCTGTTGCAGCAGCATCGGTCACTACAGCTGTTGCAGCCGCATCGGTCACTACATCTGCTGTAGTCACACCAGTCATCATTAGTGCTGCAGCAGCATCAGTCACTACAACTGCTGCAGTCACACCAGTCACCACAACTGCTACAGCAGCATCAGTCACTACAACTGTTGTAGTCACACCAGCCACCACAGCTGCTACAGCAGCATCAGTCACGACAACTGCTGCAGTCACACCAGTCACCACAGCTGCTACAGCAGCATCAGTCACTACAACTGCTGCAGTCACACCAGTCACCACAACTGCTACAGCAGCATCAGTCACTACAACTGCTGCAGTCACACCAGTCACCACAACTGCTACAGCAGCATCAGTCACTACAACTGCTGCAGTCACACCAGTCACCACAGCGGCAGCAGTCAGCACAGATCCTGGAGTCACACGTCAGAGTCACCAATCACTAATATCACAACATTTACCAGTTATTATATACTAGTAGAATATTTCTCATCCACGGCAGTTCTCATTCAGGAATTTAAAGCCTCACCAAAGTCCTACTTCTTGAAGACTTCACATGTTCCTCTGATGAATGTGGTTATTGCTCACTGCAACTCTTGGAAACTATGTTAGTAGAGAAATACTGGTAAACCCGCATGTTCGTCACAAATAATGGCATTAATGATGTGTTAAGGACTGTTTGTGACAGTGGTGGTAGTGCAATACAGAGAAGCAATGTTGGAAGGCACTTGCAACACAAGACAATATTATGATAAAGACCCAGGTGTTGCAGAAAGTGTTTTTCCATCAGTAACGAGCTGTTTAGCCCTTGTGGTTTAGCGCTTCTTTTTTATCATAATAATCATCAGTAACGAACCAGTTTTCGCAATCTTAGTGAAGTTATTTACCTTCAAGTTGCTTGATACTGAAATCTCTGTAAGTGGTTAGACCAGATAAAGCAACAAACTATAATTTTTAAAGGTGGTGGAGTGGTAAGCCAGTAGAAGGCCTCGGTCAGATGACTAAAAGCTCCAGCTGCGGGTCTTCATATGACTAAGTCCCGCATCAGGAAACACTTGTCCTGTTTCCTGACAAACCTTACCAGATAAAGTAAATATGAATAAATGACGGGGGTTGCTATTCAGAGACAGTTTTGGATATTTGCAATAGTTTTGGGGACAAGAAGTCTGTCGTGTTAAGGTCCCTTTAGCCAGAGCTGTAAGGCTTGATACGGCATAAGCTGTCAGTGGCTCTACCAACAAGGCTGCTGCCCAAGGCGTTGTTCCTTCATTTACCGAGTTCCTTCTAGCACAGGGCTGCCTGGCATCGATTCTAGATATTTGTGTGAATAAAATATGACAAAGAAACGGCGAGATGTGCAATTCTATAAATCAATACCCAAGTGGCAGAACAGCAACAGACACCGCCAGCAAAAACCTGAGTCGTCTTCAACAGTCCCGGGAGTTGCCTGAGTCTTGGAGTTGCAATAAAGCGAACCCGATAACAACCACAACGGTGTAGAGTACCACATCTGTATCTGGACCATTTCAATCAAGTACCAGAGTCAGGACGACTCATTCAAAAGAGAACACATCTTTCTAAATTATAGGAGGTTATTACGATGACCTGTATTGCTCATTACAGTGACCTGATGAACGAATCATCGAAAAGGCCATGCCGGGTTTCAAACAGATACAAGGACAGTATTTCCACGTATCAACCTGATGAAGGAAGCAGGTGCAATGTTGATCAGGTGCTGAGGAGTCAAAGGGTTGGAGGGAGTGACCTGAGTTCTCCGGCGAGGTCACCAACAGCAGTGTTGGTGAGATGGGTGTGGGTGTGTGCATACGTGTGTGCCACCTTCCTTGTGACCACCGCAGAAGCGAAGTACATCGCAGGTTTTCTCAAGACATCAGAGGTGAGTGTTCGTCAGAATACACTATCTTCCAGATGATAATTATGTGCAACAGTTGGCTATCTTTATTGTTGCAACATTTCGTCTACACAGTAGGCTTCTTCAGTCAGATACAAAGGCAGCAGGTGAAGTAGTGGAATGAAGATGATGTAATCAGTCCACCAACCTTGGAGAAAAAGCATTTGAGGTGGTCAGTTCCTCAGCCTACTGTGTAGGCGAAACGTCTCAACAATAAAGATACCCAACTGTTGCACATGTGTCTTAATCGTCAACTTGTCAGTATTTTATACAACTTCAACACCTTCCACATGGTCATTTTATCAACACATTGACTACTTTCCTGTTTCTCTCATGCGCTAAAATGCCTCCCTGTTTTTCCTCTCTTCTGGCATAGAAATGGGCATTTCTGACGAGGTTTTGTTTCCTCTCCAACGATGGAGTGTTTACCTTCGAAGTTGAGTACAATATTGAATATGCAATGGAGAAGTTACTTCTCTACTACGACTCATCACATCAGTGGCCAGCAGTATACAAGTCCGATAAGGTGAGTGTGTGTTTGTCTATGAAGATTGTGACACTTATGCAACCTATGGGAATCTTCATTGAAGAAAAGTTTTGCCACACAGTGGCTTCATCAGTCCAATACAAATCAGAAAGGTGTAAGGAGAGGAGGAGTTTGAGGTAATCAGTCCCTCAGCCTGGAGTCGATGTGTTCAGTCCATCAATCTTGTAGAATGTACAGCATAGGGCCGTAGACGTGGCTTATATACTGTAGTCAAGTGAGGCGAAGCAGGGGGAGGCGGGGTCATAGTGGTACCATCCACTAGACGAAGTAGGTCTTCGTCCAAAGGTTAGATAAGGATGAAGAATTCTTTGTATCAAGATTTCATGATGTTACAGTGTCTGACAGATGTGACAAATGGCTTAAAACCGACAAGTTGAAGAGTGTTTGTCTATACCCACACATGTATGCATATTGTATATTCGTCAAGGTATCATCTTTGGAGGCGCTATTATGCAGTAATCTTTCCTTGTTTCTAAGTGGAGTGTGGGACGTAACAGGGTATACTAGTGAATGATATCCACTGAACGAGTCATAATGTAAGAACCGTGTCAGGAGACACTTGTTTCCTGACGAACAAAATACCGTCACAAAGAGAGAGAGAGAGAGAGAGAGAGAGCGAGAGATAATGTGAATCAGAGAAACATGCAGGAGGGAGAGATGGACTAACAATGTAGAAATAAATAAGAAGTAGGAGAGAAAGTGTAAAACAATCATGGAAAAGAAAGATAGATTTAATCAGTGCCATTTGCCTAATAATAAATAAAGCTATAATTACAAATACATAATGTAATGCATTCCTTATAATGTATAAATCTACAATACACAGGCATGAAGTAGAGCTCTTGATCTAAGGTATGAAAGCCATCCCTACTTCGAATCAAATCTGATCAACCCCTCCCTCACCCCCCTGCCATTCCTTATAATAAACTAGCAAGCCTAAGATGCCATCTTAAGAGGTGATGCTTAAGATGTTCTCTCCCTGGGATGTTCTTCCCGAAAAAGAGATTAGACAAATATATGAGTGAGAAGGGCTGGGATTGATTAGTACCTAAAGTTTTGAAGCAAATTCTTGGGTGGCTTTGAGAAGGACCTACCTTGTAAGGGCCAGTAGTCCTGCTGCAGTGTTCCTCCATTCTTACATTCTCGTCAAAGGTTAAATTATGTAAGATATGTCTGGAAGTAAGTGTTTCCTGATGCGGGGGTTTGGCCACATGATAACCCGACACTGGAGCTTTAGGCCATCTGACCGAGACCTTCCACTGGCTTACCACTCTATTTATAATTATAACCGAATGTCTCATCAGAGATGCGAGGAGAAGGAGGCAGTGATGAAGAAGGAAAACAACCAGTTCATCAATCTGACGTTGATGTCTATCAGCTCGGAGTGTGAGGTGGTTCGACTTCCAGGAGATAAAGCTTTCTATCACTGCAAAGGAACCAGGTCGTTCCGCAGTGTCAGAGAGAGGTGGTGGTTCATTGCTGTTAGCAACTGTGACAGTGACAAGGTAAGACACAGTGACAATCTCTGTAGATTGAAACATAGTTGTTATAAACCTTGGTAATAAATACCGATAGATTATTTTAAATACACTAGGTTACGTTACCTTGATCACTTTTAACGAAGTTATCAAGGTCGCAGGACCAATATGCTTTCTAATAAATATGTCCTGGTGTTTGCTGACGTCATCTTAGACCAGAAACAAACCTGCAGAACAATGCTGTGTAGAGCTTTATCAAGTTATGTTTCACTCTGTGTAGAGCTTTATCAAGTTATGTTTCACTCTGTGTAGAGCTTTATCAAGTTATGTTTCACTCTGTGTAGAGCTTTATCAAGTTATGTTTCACTCTGTGTAGAACTTTATCAAGTTATGTTTCACTCTGTGTAGAACTTTATCAAGTTATGTTTCACTCTGTGTAGAACTTTATTAAGTTATGTTTCACTCTGTGTAGAGCTTTATCAAGTTATGTTTCACTCTGTGTAGAACTTTATCAAGTTATGTTTCACTCTGTGTAGAACTTTATTAAGTTATGTTTCACTCTGTGTAGAGCTTTATCAAGTTATGTTTCACTCTGTGTAGAACTTTATCAAGTTATGTTTCACTCTGTGTAGAACTTTATCAAGTTATGTTTCACTCTGTGTAGAACTTTATCAAGTTATGTTTCACTCTGTGTAGAGCTTTATCAAGTTATGTTTCACTCTGTGTAGAGCTTTATCAAGTTATGTTTCACTCTCTCTAAGAGCCTTAATAATTCGCGATTAAAGTTCTCCACACAACGTAACTTTGTCCCATTAAAAGACCCTCACCGTGTTCCTTTTCTCCTCTATGAACCCACGTCACGATTTGCATACGGAAATCACACTGTACCGTGTAACTAACCCCGTTTCCGCCCGCAGGGACTGGAATTGGCTTACCGAATTACTATGACCAATGGCTACTCTTATTGGTTTAAACACTTCTCCGCGGACGAATTCTGTGAGTCCTGTATGTCATTTTTGTACCAAATTATACGTACAGGGAATCCATGTTTATTTGTAGACTCAAGAGGTTGCAGAATTTGTACTTTTTGTAACATGTTGGGTAAATGGACACAAGTGCAGCTAATGTGACATTTACTGTGGCACTATATATCAGTTCTTTAGTTATGTACAATATTTAGTACAATATTTTATGTTGCTACTTTCGCGTGTCGTAATCTATTTAATAATTTTTCTTCGTAAAAAATGGGAAAAGTAAAAGGTAAACTACGGTAAAAAAAATTTTTTTCCAGATATACTGAGAACGGATATCACAGCTCTCGCTCTTCAGCTGGGAGTACTGTTCCTCTCTCTCCTAGCCTCAGGTCAGTCATCCTAGCACAGGTTATCCTGATTTATCCCAGGCATCCTTCTTCCTGCAGAATCTTAGTACAAATATATATTACTGTTTGGAAAATCATTTCTAGATTAAATGAGCTGTGTTATCTTATTAATTTGTAGACAGCTGTATATATACACTGAGAGGTGTATATCTCAGTGTTTATGCGCCTAGAGGTGTATATCTCCACATATACACTGAGGGGTGTATATCTCTGTGTATATACAGTGAGATATACACTTGAGAGGTGTATATCTCTCAGTGTATATACACTGAGAGGTGTATATCTCTTAGCGTATGTACACTGAGGAGTATATCAATGTATAAACACCGAGAGGTGTATATTTCTGAGTATACACGAAGAGTTTCCTTTACTCACTATTTTAGGCATTAAAGTATACTAGACTGGCAGTGTGCAGCTGTCATACAGCCTTAGTAACCCTCGTGTGTAGATACACTAACCACGTGTTAATATCTTTTCTTAGCTGAGTTGAAGAGCCGGCAGCTGTTCCACACTACCTACCGACTATACCTGGTATCCCTGATGTCACAGATCATTGGACTGGGGTTTCTGATTCTTCATTACGCGAGATACGGCTTTGATGGGATGGGTCTACCTGGCAGCAAGCTCCTAGGTACAGCTCTCATGTGATTTATTACAGATTCTGTACTCACCTATTTGTGGTTGCAAGGGGTTGATTCATAGCTCCTGGTATGATAGTTACAGTGTGGGAATACCAGCAGTGTGCTGCTATACCGTTCTGTAAGATAGTTACTTTGTAGGAACACCAGCAGTGCACTGCTATACCATTCTGTATGTTAGTTACATTGTAGGAACACCAACAGTGTACTGCTATACCATTCTGTAAGATAGTTACATTGTAAGAACACCACCAGTGTACTGCTATACCATTCTGTAAGTTACATTGTGGGAACACCAGCAATGTATTGGTACACATTTTTATGATACAGTATGTGTGTTATGTACGTATGTACTAGCAGTGTACTTGTGCTTCAGGTCGCCTGCTACACACACTCAGCACTGTGATAATGGTGCTAATGCTGCTGCTCATGGGCAAAGGTTTTAACATCACTCGAGGTCGTCTGCGTCAGGCTTCGGCCGTACGTCTTACTATCTTCATGTGTCTCTACTGTAGCACCTACGTCACCCTCTTTACCTACGAACACCAGGTGAGGTGCAACCTCATGTCTAGTGTTGATGTCACTTTGGTATAAATCTTGGTAATAAATACCGACAAATTGGTTTAGAAAGACAGGAGCAAACACCAGGACCGAAGCGTTTTATATGTTTTAGTTTTTGCTGGTCTTTCTAAACCGATGTCATTTTACTGTATCTTGTGTTGATGTAAATATGCTAATAGTGTTGATAATATTGGAGTTTATGTCACTATAACTAGTACTGATGTTATTATGCCTATAGCATTGATATTGCTATACCTATATCTAGTATTGATGTCCCTACACCTATATCTGATCTAGTATTGATGTCCCTACACCTATATGTAATCTAGTATTGATGTCCCTACACCTATATCTAATTTAGTATCGATGTCCCTACACCTATATTTAATCTAGTATTGATGTCGCTATACAGATGTCCAACATATTAATCACTTAGTGCAATGCAACACTCAGTACAACGTTTGTAAACATTAGATACTGTTAATAATAAGATTTAAATAAAAACGTTATCTTCAACTTTTTGCCTCTCCATAACGATGTGTAAGAAGAGTTATGTATTCATACATAAACAAGAGAATGAACGGGTATTCAAACTGACCCTGGCATGTAGCAGTTCGAATCTCCGTTCATTTTTCTGTTTACTGACAGTCGTTCATTGTGACTTATTTTGAGTTCATAGACTACATGGCTTTCAGGGGTATGAGAACAGATATACTTTGAAAGCTTCTGGGGTTGTGGGTAGGGAAAGGTGACACAGCTGGTGACTACTGATACAAACAAATCACAGAAGTGCTTCTGTGAAACCTTCATATTAAAAGCCTCTTAACGCAGTGATATAGCGTTAGACCTGCTACATAAAACAGTTCAGATTCCCTTTCATTCTGTTTATGCACTGACAGTCGTTCGTCATGACATATCTTGAGTTTAAAGCTATGTATGTTTCCCTGTACAGGTGTTCGACCCAGGGGAGGTACTGTACCAGTATGAATCACCTGCGGGGTACGGGCTTCTGGTGCTACGATCTGTGGCTTGGTGTATGTTCCTTTATGCTTGCTTCTTTACTCTCAAGCACTATCCAGAGAAGAGTGGTTTCTACTGCCCATTCTTCACCTTTTACACACTCTGGTGAGTCGCCGTCTCGGGGTTTAGCTGGCAGAGGATCAAGCCTCCACTACCTGGGCAGTCTGTATAGCCCTTGTGGCTTAGCGCTTCTTTTTGATTATAATAATAATACCTTGGCAGTATGATTAGAAATAAAATGTACTAGTTGGGTATTTTCTTTATTTCTTTGATAAGCTACACCATCTTATATAATTATTAGCATCATCGTTATTAATATCATCTTATTTTTCACTGAAATATGCATATTAACCAGCAACAGAGGAGTGAATTTCGTTGTAGCTATGAACTGTGTTGTTGGTTTATAGGGCTACTGACAGGTAACACCGAATTGATTCCTGCTTTTATTTGTTAGGTGAAATCTAGTAGCAAGGCTCATGATCCCCAATATCATACAGAGACCTGTACGATACTGCCCCAGTAACTGGGTGAATGTTCCGTTACTCAACAGGTTCTTGTCTGGTCCTATAGTGATCATCATCAGCAACCATGTGATTGACAAGTGGGTCAGGGAGAAGGTGGTGAATGGAGTTGAACTGTCCATAACGTTGCTTGGACATATCTTCTTCCTGGTTAGTGCTCGTAGGGCATTAGTAGTTGGGTTCACTTTTATGACTCATGATTAAATACCTTCACTGGTATTCAAGCACTATGGTTAAAACCTTGATGACGTTCAACCATATATGCATTCAGCCTTTATTGCCGAGTGCCTGTATAATTAAATACCTTTATTGCTGAGTGTCTATGTTATCGGATGCCTTTAGGACTTAGTATGTCACCCATCACTAAACCACTCATCTCTTGGACAGTTCCTGACGAGACCAAGTGCAGCCAACCGCAACTTTCCCTACCACGTTCGAACTACTCAGATCTCTGCTCTGGAGCTCTCTGGCACAGGCGTGGTGGGCAACAATACTCTAGATGCCTTTTCCACCCACCGGTATGCCCCTGACCTGCCCCAGCCGAAGACTCACACCGCCCCTGATCTCTTTCTGGTCTCTGGAGCCGTTGAGATGGTACGTGAAGATATAGAAGATGCAGAAGATTGGGAGAATGATGTTAAGATATGGACTGTTAATGCCAAAATTATGCTATATTCACAAAATTTATTAATTTTGTTTGTCAGGGCCGATTTCTAGCTTCTGGTTCCATGTGTGTGTGTGTGTGTGTGTGTGTGTGTGTGTGTGTGTGTGTGTGTGTGTGTACTCTTTTATATATATTCACCTATGTGTGGTTGTAGGGGTCGAGTTTCAGCTCCTGGCCCTGCCTCTTCACTGGTCACTAATTGGTTTACCCCTGGCTTCGAGAGCCTTATCATATACCTCTTAAGACTGTGTATGGATCCCGCCTCTCCACGTCATTCCACTTCCTGACTAAGGCTGGAGAAATACTTGCTGACATCCCTGTGATTCATCTGGATTTTCAAATTCCATCTGTACCCTCATGTAACTGTTTTCCATCTCATTGTCCCTATTTACAATATCGGTTCCTCTCAGTATATTGTACATTGTCATCATGTTACCCCTAGTCCTTCTGTCCTCCAGTGTCACCAGGTTGGGTTCCCTTAACTTGTTCTCATAGGACATAACCCTTAACTCCGGGACAAGTCTTATTGCAAACGTCTGCATTTTCTCCAATTTTATGACATGCTTGATCAGGTGTGGGTTCCATACTGATACTGTGTACTCCAGTATGGGCTTTATGTACACAGTGTTTAGGGTTGTAAGTGATTCCTTACTTAGAAGTCTAAAAGCTAGTCATAGATTTGCCAGAAGGACATTTACTGCAGAGTTTAGTTGATGAGCACCTCAGGTGATATGTTCAGTGCAATCCTCACCTCATAGTCCTCACTGAGTGAGGTTTTCAGCCTTTGCCACCCGAGCCTGTACTCCGTCCGCGGTCTTTTTTACCCTTTCCCAAAGTTTATAAGTTTGCACTTTCTGGGATTATACTCCAGGAGCCACTTAGACCTGCATCCTGTCCAGATACATTTGTGACCTTTCCTGGTCCACGTCAATTTGTATTATACTCATTAGTTTCGTATCATCTGCGAACAGTGATATCTCTATCTGCCTGCCTGCCTGTGTGCTTGCCTGACTGCCTGCCTGCCTGCCTGCCTGCCTGCCTGCCTGCCTGCCTGCCTGCCTGCCTACCTGCCTGCCTGCCTGCCTGCCTGCCTGCCTGCCTGCCTGCCTGCCTGCCTGCCTGCCTGCCTGCCTGTGTGCTTGCCTGACTGCCTGCCTGACTGCCTGCCTGCCTGCCTGCCTGCCTGCCTGCTTTTGCCTGCTTGCTTCCTTGCTTTGCCTGCCTGCCTGAGTGCCTGCTGGAGTGTCTGCATATTTCTCCAGAGTTTTGTCTGTGGATCATAACACTGAAGTCATTGGGGTTAAAATAATCTCTCGCTCTCTCTCATTTTAGGAATTTTTTGTAGATGTCCTTTAAGCTTTAGCTTAATAACTTGTAGAAAAGCTGGTAAATCTTTGCTGAGATATAAATCCTAAAGCTTAATTTTACTTTGGATAAATTTTAGTTATGTTGTATGTTTTGTCAGCTTAATATATATTATATATATATATTATATATATATTATAATATTTATATATATAATTTTTATATATATTATATATATATATATTATATATATATATATATATAAAATTATATATATATATATATATATATATTTTATATATATATATATATAAGTTCATCTCTTAGGACTATATTCTTAGTTGCTTCGTATATTTCATACATAATTATGCATACATGTTTACTCATGTACCACGCATACCTGTATTCTTTTGTATTATCTGCACCTAATGTATACAGTCAGCTCTGATGAACCTCCTCTATATAGTACAATTTTTATGGTAAATGTAGTTAAAAAACTACATTGTAAATCGATTAGCGAGTTGAAAGTTCTTGTAGATGCTGCTCTATTTTAGATACTTTCTCCTTCCCGTGTATAAAGATCACACTGTATGGAGGAGCCAGAGGGTAAGGCGCACAGCAACAGTACGAAGCAGCAGTTTCGAAGTGTTCCATATAATGGTTAGCGAGAACAGGTATAGAGTAGAACCCATAGCAATACCGAAGATTTTTTGCCAGGAAACAGAACAAGTGTTTTCTGATGCGAATGTTAGTCATATGATGACCCACAGCTGGAGCTCTTGGTCATCTGACCGAGGCCTTCTGCTGGCTTACCCCTCCACCTCTTTAAAAATTGTGGTTATGATTATAACCGTCAGGAGTAGTGATTAAGAATAAAATTTACCTTGAAAGGAAAAGTAGTCAGAGTTCACACAAAGGCGAATAAGATCAAGAAAGATATCAGTAGGTATAAGATGAAGTAACCCTTCACTGACCTTCACTCTTCCTAATAACAATATTAATCTTTATTTCTACAAGTACATGTAGAAGGTATACAGACCATAGCTGACATCAGTGACATACTACTATCTAGAAAGCCCCTCGTTATGCAGAGCATATCGGGCAAATTAGGTCAGTTTTGTCCCAGGATGCGACCCACTCCAGTTAACTAACACCAAGATACCCATTTTTCTGCTAGGTGAACAGGAACAGCAGGTGTCTAAGGGAAACATGTCCTAATATTTTCACCCGTATAAGGAATCGACCCACGGACTTCGCTGTGTGAGCTGAGTGCACTACCAATCCAGCTAATTTTTACTGGTGTGCACTCTTCCCTCTGGCTTTGCTATGTAGATGAATTTTTTGCTCTTTGGCCTTATATAGAGGAGCTTAAAAAGTTGACTGTATAGGCTAGGAGCTACAGACGCAGAACTAAATGCTCTTTTGTTTCAGGCGTCAGAACAGCTGGATATGGTAAGCTACTACGTAGTGTGTGTGTGTGTGTGTGTGTGTGTGTGTGTGTGTTTTGTCATAGTCACTTGTCGATTAGACACTTGGCCTGTTGTGTGTGTGTGTGTAAAGTCATCTATTGATACTCACCTATATGTATTTACCTTCTCACTTACATATACTCACCTATATGTGGTTGCAGGGGTCAGGTCTTAGCTCCTGGCCCTGCCTCTCAATTTGCTACTTGCCAAATTCACCCCCTCCTAGCCTCAAGGGCCTGTTCTTAAAACCTGTTCTTAAAACTATATATGGACTCTGCCTCCACCACTTCTTCACCAAGATTATTCCGCTTCCCGACCACCCTGAGACTGAAAAAATACTTCCTGACATCCCCGTGGCCCATCTGTGACTCTAACTTCCATCTGTGTGTGTGTGGACTCTTAACAATGCGTACCGGACTAGTTTCATTCATCAGATGTAAAAAAGAGACTGGGATGGGAGGGCTATGCATCACCATTGATTTTTACCCTAGAGATATAAGACACAGTGATGGCCAAGGAAGAAGCATCTTATTGGGAGAAAGTGACGAGTGGGGTGGCACAAGCATTAGTGCTAGGACTGGCATTATTCTTTATATATATATATATATATATATATATATATATATATATATATATATATATATATATATATATATATGTTTACTGTGATCTTATTATATATATATATATATATATATATATATATAATTATATATATATATATATATATTATATATATATACGTATATATATATATATTATATATATATATATATATATATATATATATATATATATATATATATATATATATATATATAGAAAGGGGTTTAGTTATAGGTAATACATATTTTAAGAAAAGAGGATAAATAAGTATACACGATATGATGTAGGGCGAAATGACAGTAGTTTGTTGGATTATGTATTGGTAGATAAAAGACTGTTGAGTAGACTTCAGGATGTACATGTTTATAGAGGGGCCACAGATATATCAGATCACTTTCTAGTTGTAGCTACACTGAGAGTAAAAGGTAGATGGGATACAAGGAGAATAGAAGCATCAGGGAAGAGAGAGGTGAAGGTTTATAAACTAAAAGAGGAGGCAGTTAGGGTAAGATATAAACAGCTATTGGAGGATAGATGGGCTAATGAGAGCATAGGCAATGGGGTTGAAGAGGTATGGGTAGGTTAAAAATGTAGTGTTAGAGTGTTCAGCAGAAGTTTGTGGTTACAGGAAAGTGGGTGCAGGAGGGAAAAGGAGCGATTGGTGGAATGATGATGTGAAGAGAGTAGTAAGGGAGAAAAAGTTAGCGTATGAGAAGTTTTTACAAAGTAGAAGTGATGCAAGGAGGGAGGAGTATATGGAGAAAAAGAGAGAAGTTAAGAGAGTGGTGAAGCATGTAAAAAGAGAGCAAATGAGAGAGTGGGTGAGATGTTATCAACAAATTTTGTTGAAAATAAGAAAAAGTTTTGGAGTGAGATTAACAAGTTAAGAAAGCTAGAGAACAAATGGATTTGTCAGTTAAAAATAGGAGTGGAGAGTTATTAAATGGAGAGTTAGATGTATTTGGAAGATGGAAGGAATATTTTGAGGAATTGTTAAATGTTGATTGAAGATAGGGAAGCTGTGATTTCGTGTATAGGGCAAGGAGGAATAACAATCTTGTAGGAGTGAGGAAGAGCCAGTTGTGAGTGTGGGGGAAGTTCGTGAGGCAGTAGGTAAAATGAAAGGGGGTAAGGCAGCCGGGATTGATGGGATAAAGATAGAAATGTTAAAAGCAGGTGGGGATATAGTTTTGGAGTGGTTGGTGCAATTATTTAATAATGTATGGAAGAGGGTAAGGTACCTAGGGATTGGCAGAGAGCATGCATAGTTCCTTTGTATAAAGGCAAAGGGGATAAAAGAGAGTGCAAAAATTATAGGGGGATAAGTCTTGTTGAGTGTACCTGGTAAAGTGTATGGTAGAGTTATAATTGAAAGAATTAAGAGTAAGACGGAGAATAGGATAGCAGATGAACAAGGAGGCTTTAGGAAAGGTAGGGGGTGTGTGGACCAGGTGTTTACAGTGAAACATATAAGTGAACAGTATTAGATAAGGCTAAAGAGGTCTTTGTGGCATTTATGGATTTGGAAAAGGCGTATGACAGGGTGGATAGGAGGGCAATGTGGCAGATGTTGCAAGTGTATGGTGTAGGAGGTAGGTTACTGAAAGCAGTGAAGAGTTTTTACGAGGATAGTGAGGCTCAAGTTAGAGTATGTAGGAAAGAGGGAAATTTTTTCCCAGTAAAAGTAGGCCTTAGACAAGGATGTGTGATGTCACCGTGGTTGTTTAATATATTTATAGATGGGGTTGTAAGAGAAGTAAAATGCGAGGGTCTTGGCAAGAGGCGTGGAGTTAAAGATAAAGAATCACACACAAAGTGGGAGTTGTCACAGCTGCTCTTTGCTGATGACACTGTGCTCTTGGGAGATTCTGAAGAGAAGTTGCAGAGATTGGTGGTTGAATTTGGTAGGGTGTGCAAAAGAAGAAAATTAAAGGTGAATACAGGAAAGAGTAAGGTTATGAGGATAACAAAAAAATTAGGGGGATGAAAGATTGAATATCAGATTGGAGGGAGAGAGTATGGGGAGGTGAACGTATTCAGATATTTGGGAGTGGACGTGTCAGCGGATGGGTTCTATGAAAGATGAGGTGAATCATAGAATTGATGAGGGAAAAAGAGTGAGTGGTGCACTTAGGAGTCTGTGGAGACAAAGAACTTTGTCCTTGGAGGCAAAGAGGGGAATGTATGAGAGTATAGTTTTACCAACGCTCTTATATGGGTGTGAAGCATGGGTGATGAATGTTGCAGCGAGGAGAAGGCTGGAGGCAGTGGAGATGTCATGTCTGAGGGCAATGTGTGGTGTGAATATAATGCAGAGAATTCGTAGTTTGGAAGTTAGGAGGAGGTGCGGGATTACCAAAACTGTTGTCCAGAGGGCTGAGGAAGGGTTGTTGAGGTGGTTCGGACATGTAGAGAGAATGGAGCGAAACAGAATGACTTCAAGAGTGTATCAGTCTGTAGTGGAAGGAAGGCGGGGTAGGGGTCGGCCTAGGAAGGGTTGGAGGAGGGGGTAAAGGAGGTTTTGTGTGCGAGGGGCTTGGACTTCCAGCAGGCATGCGTGAGCGTGTTTGATAGGAGTGAATGGAGACAAATGGTTTTTAATACTTGACGTGCTGTTGGAGTGTGAGCAAAGTAACATTTATGAAGGGATTCAGGGAAACCGGCAGGGCCGGACTTGAGTCCTGGAGATGGGAAGTACAGTGCCTGCACTCTGAAGGAGGGGTGTTAATGTTGCAGTTTAAAAACTGTAGTGTAAAGCACCCTCTGGCAAGACAGTGATGGAGTGAATGATGGTGAAAGTCTTTCTTTTTCGGGCCACCCTGCCTTGGTGGGAATCGGCCGGTGTGATAATAAAAATATATATATATATATATATATATATATATATATATATATATATATATATATATATATATATATATATATATATATATATATATATATATATACACACACACACAAGAAGACTGGATATGGAATATAGCATAAGAGGAGATAGAAGCTTAAAGATACAACTGAGGAGAGGGATTTAGGAATAAGCATAATTCCAAACATATCACCAAAAGCTAACATTAACTGAAATATTCCAGTGATGTATGCCACTCTTGCCAGTTGTCATTAATACCCCCAGACACAGGGTGTGTCAGAGTCATCACTTGGGTTAGTTTAATATCTTCATTATGCACCACATACCCATCCTGTGGATAGTAGTCACCACATACCCATCCTATGGATGTAGTGGAGGCAGGAACCATACCTAGTTTTAAGACGAGGTATGATAAAGCTCATGGAATAGGGAGAGGGAGGACCCAGAGCGGTCAGTGAAGAGGCGGGGCCAAGAGCTGAGTCTCGACCCCTGCAGCCACAATTAGGTTAGTACACACATACACACAGTCATCATAACAATAAGGACACCTAGGTGTTGCACCTGTCTCCTCTGACACACATGTAGTGTGCGAGAGTTAATGTGACGTGTGTGTATGTGCTCCACAGATCCCTCTGCCTGGACCACGAAGTATACTGAAGGATGATAGAAGTTTTCCACATTATACTCCAGGAGCATCGTCAGTAGTCTTGCAAGAAGACTCCAAAACAGTAGATCCTCCTCCTCCACAACTTCTCAACTAGAAGAAGAATGCTAATCCATGAATGTTAATTATTAACCCCAGAGAGTTAATAATATAGGATATAACATCCTTTCTTTGAGTATGTGATCAATGACAGTAGATTATGTACTTGGTATCTACTGTCTGCTAGGTGGACAGAGACGGCAGGCGTAAAAAACTTATCTACATTCTCTCTCTCTCTCTCACTGTCTGTCTCCCTCTGTTGGTCTGTCTCTCTGTCAGTGTCTGTGTCCTTGTCTCTCCCTCTGTCTCTGTCTCTATCATTCTCACGCTCAAAATATTTTTGTAAACGTCAAAATATTAATTTCAGTCAAAATGCAACTTAAAACTCTATTTTCACTAAATGCAATAAAAAATGTCTACATATATACTGCATTACGAGACTCTAATAATGGTATATTTGAATATTTAAAGTAAGATACAAAACAGAGGGACCCAGTAGATAGATATATCCTCGTGGTAAGGATCACCATGGTCGAGTCTTCGTCAAAAATACTTATGTTAAGTCAAAGGACACAAATCCAACTGATGTGACATTTTATTGTGGCAACGTTTCGCTCTCCAGGAGCTTACCACGTTACCACAATAAAATGTAACATTAGTTGCATTTGTGTCCTTTTATTTAACATATTGTCGGTAATTCTACCAACATTAATACAAAAATACTTATGTATATCATGTCTGTCTCACGTTGCTATTGTTTAATCAATACAAATTACTTGTAAACAGTGTAACAATTTATATGATACTAATGCAATTAAAAGTAAGAAATAAAACGACTAAATAAAATAGCATTTACTGAGATATATTATTTTGTTTAAATGTATATTTATATATAAGTTCACAGTAACTTAATTTCAAAATAAAATCACTATCATGTACTGAATTTACCTTTTTGTTTAGTTTTAATTAATCCTTATTTTAGGAACTGAAGTGTACCTATATGGTGGTCAGCGCTGAATTGCCCCATTGGGTTTAGAGCTTGACTATTATTGATTGGTAGTGGAAAGGTTACCAGGAGCATTAAGGACCTTCTTGTAGTCGATAGGCTTATAACCCCATTAATAGAAACATATACATACATTGGTATATGAATAGAGTCAAGGGAAGTTCCTTGATGCTGGTGAGGGGCTCTTGATCTAGGGAATTTGATCTGTGCTCCAGTTCCCTAAATGTCTTCCATCCCCCCCGAGACGCTGTATAAATCCTTACGGGTTTAACGCCCCTCCATGACTAGAATATATATATTAGATAATAAAACTTGAAGATCCATATGGACTTAGTGCTTTTGTGAATAAATCAACAATAATCTTGAAAATAGTCGTTAATAATAGAGAAATGTTATAATGCAGCATTATTTTATATACATAAAAGTATATTTAAATTAAGTTGACAATGACTCTCTTATCAATGGAAACATGAATATATATATATATATAATATATATATATATATATATATATATATATATAAATATATATATATATATATATATATATATATAATATGTCATATATATATATATATATGTCATAAGGCGGTCAATAATGCACAAAAACCAGCAAAGGCCAGCAACAGAAGATCATAAGAGAAGGTTACTATGTTGATCAACCTGTGTGACGTCAACATCAACAAAAATCAACTAATCAGCATTCACCTTTTAAGTCCTTCAGGTACTCATGCTGCTGGAGTACTTTGCCCTCATTATGATTGGCTACTCTGTTAGATGTAAACAAAGAGTTTCTGCCAATGAAATGCGAGTTTCTTAGTGACGTCACGTGGAAGTTGTTCACCTAGCAACCCTTTCTTAAGACTTGCTGTTGATTATCTTAATAACAAATTCTCTCACTAGATGGCGGACGAAAATTTGACACAAATTTATATGAATGATAGGAGTAAAGTAAAGATATACAGATATATATATAGCTAGCTAAATAGATGGATAGACAAGTGGATAGAAATAAATTAAATACCAAATTGAAACTTGTTTTCATAAATTTTGGATTTTCCTAAAATGTTCATATGCCAATAACAAATGAGCAACCTTTCATGTATATTTTTGCTTTTACATATATGTATGTTTATTGCATCTATTTACTATATACGATAGATATAGTTCACATATTTAAATGCTCTATAACAAAAATTAATATTATTTCATTTACTCAATAATGAGTGAATTAACTTTAGAAAAGATGATGGGAGCAAGCAGCCTTGTTTTTATTTATCCTTTAAGAAGTCTTAATATTATCTATAATGGACAAAGCAGAGGTAGTGAGCAACAGAAGATCATAAGAGAAGGTTACTGTGTTGATCAACCTGTGTGACGTCAACATCAACAAAAATCAACCAATCAGCATTCACCTTATAAGTCCTTAAGGTACTCATGCTGCTGGAGTACTTTATCCTTGTTGTGATTGGCAATTCTGCTAGATGTAAACAAAGAGTTTCTACCAATGAAATGCGAGTTTCTTAGTGACGTCACGTGGAAGTTGTTCACCTTAGCAATCCTTTCTTATGACTTGCTGTTGATTATCTTAATAACAAATTCTCTCACTAGATGGCAGCTGAAAAAATGACACAAATTTTCACCAACTTTGTGAGTGTGTGTGTGTGTGTGTGTGTGTGTGTATGTACACTGAAAATTTTGTCTTTTTTTTTCAGCTGCCATCTAGTGAGAGAATTTGTTATTAAGATAATCAACAGCAAGTCATAAGAAAGGATTGCTAAGGTGAACAACTTCCACGTGACGTCACTAAGAAACTCGCATTTCATTGGTAGAAACTCTTTGTTTACATCTAGCAGAATTGCCAATCACAGAGAGGGTAAAGTACTCCAGCAGCATGAGTACCTTAATGACTTATAAGGTGAATGCTAATTGGTTGATTTTTGTTGATGGTGACGTCACACGGGTTGATCAACACAGTAACCTTCTCTTATGATCTTCTGTTGCTCACTACCTCTGCTTTGTCCATTATAGATAATATTAGGACCTTCTTAAGGGTAAATAAATAAATAATAACAAGGCTGCTTGCTCCGTTATAAAAGAATCCGCATCTTTTCTAAAGTTAATTTACTCGTTATTGAGTAAATGAGAGATTATTTTTTCATCGAGTATTGAAATATGTGAACTATATCTATGTTATATAGTAGATAGATGCATTATATATATATATATATATATGTATATATATATATATATATATATATATATATATATATATATATATATATATATATATATATATATATATATATATATATATATATATATATATAAAAGCAAAAATATACATGAAAACAAGTTTCAATTTGGTATTTAATTTATTTCTATCCACTTGTCTATCCATCTATCTAGCTAGCTATATATATCTGTATATCTATCTACCCCTATCATTCATATAAATTTGTGTCATTTTTTTCAGCCGCCATCAAGTGTGTTATTAAGATAATCAACAGCAAGTCATAAGAGAGGGTTGCTAAGGTGAACAACTTCCACATGACGTCACTAACAAACTTGCATTTCATTGGTAGAAACTCTTTGTTTACATCTAGCAGAATAGCCAATCACAGTGAGGGTAAAATACTCAAGCAGCACGAGTACCTGAAGGACTTATAAGGTGAATGCTGATTGGTTGTTTCTGTTAATGGTGACGTCATTGGGGTTGGTCAACACAGTAACCTTCACTTATGATCCGTTGTTGCTGACCTCGGCTGTTTTTGTACATTATTTATGACATTATTATGATTTATAAATAAATAATAAAAAAGATGCGCTAAAACCACTAGGGTTATGCATTATTTGTGACAAACATTATTAAAGAATAT